AAGGGGGGGACAAGTACATGTCACTCTAAGGAGCTTGCAAAGAAGCAGGCCAAAATTCATTCAGATCAACAAGATACACATGAAATATAATTTGTTTATTTAAAGCTTTTTTTAAAAAAAAAACACCTTGTTAGTCATAAAGAAATGCAATTACGGAGCTTAGCACAAACGGGAAAAAAGCAACATCAGGAAGATGGGCAGTACCCTTCTCTCCATCTCACAACTCTGAACTGGGCCACAAGCATTATGGAGCCTATCTTTTAAGAATCAATTATCTGCATCAGGTAAAGAGAACACAAAGCAGAGCCAGGGAGCAATTGTTGGAAAGCAGAGGAATAGAACAGAATAGAATAGAGCTGGAAGGGACCTTGGAGGTCTTCTAGTCCAACCCCCTGCTCAAACAGGAGAACCTATCCATCTCAGACAAGTGACTGTCCAGTCTCTTCTTAAAAATCTCCAATGATGGAGCACCCACAATTTCTGAAGGCAAGCTGTTCCACTGGTTACATTGTCCTCACTGTTAGGAAGTTTCTCCTTAATTCCAGGTTGCTTCTCTCTTTGGTCAGTTTCCAACCATTGTTTCTTGTCCTGCCCTCTGGTGCTTTGGAGAATAGTTTGACCCCCTCTTCTTTGTAGCAGCCCCTCAAATACTGGAATACTGCTATCATGTTGCCCGTTTCTTCTTTTCTTTAGACTAGCCAAACCCAAGTCCTGCAGTCGTTCTTCATATGTTTTAGTCTCCAGGCCTTTGACCATTTTAGTTGCTCTTCTCTGAACTTTTTCCAAGATCTTTTTTGTAGTATGGTGACCAAAATTGGTTGCAATATTACAGGTGTGGTCTCACTAGGATTTTATAAAGCAGTACTAATACTCCGTGTGATCTTGATTCTATGCCTCTGTTTATACAACCCAGGATTGTATTAGCTTAGATCTTCCACTAGGACTCCAAGGTCCCTCTCACAGTTGCTGTTTTTGAGCCAGATCTTGCCTAATCTGTACTTAAACCTTTGATTTTTCCTGCCTAAATGTAAAACTTTGCTTTTCGCCACATTAAAACTCATTTTGTTGGATAGGACCCATTGTTCAAGTTTGTCAAGATCTTTTTGGATCCTGAGCTTGTCTTCTGCAGTGTTGTCTATTCCTGCCAGTTTGGTGTCATCTGCAAATTTGATGAGTTCCTCTTCTATTCCCGTCATTAATGAAGACATTGAAGAGTACTGGGCCTAAGACAGAGCCTTGTGGTACCCCACTACTTATTTCTCTCCATGTGGATGTAGTACCATTGAGGACTACTTGCTGAGTACGATTTGTCAGCCTGCTACAGATCCGTCTGATGGTGTTGTCGTTTATCCCACCTTTTTCTAGCTTACTAAGCAGCAGGTTGTGGTCTACTTTGTCAAATGCCTTGCTGAACTCTAAGTATAATATGTCCACAGCATTTCACTGGTCCTCTAATTTGGTGACTTTATCAAAGAATGAAATAAGATTAGTTTGGCATGATTTGTTTTTGACAAACCCGTGCTGGCTACTGGTTATAACTTTGTTTGCTTCTAGTTGTTCGCAGATCTGTTTTTTGATTATCTTTTCCAAGATCTTCCCAGGTATTGATGTTAGACTGATTGGTCTGTAGTTTCCTGGGTCCATTTTTTTAACTTTCTTGAAGATGGGAACCACATAAGCTCTTTTTCAATCCTCAGGTACTTCTCCGGTGCTCCAGGATTTTTGAAAGATATGGTACAATGGTTCTGAGATAACATCTGCCAGCTCCTTCAGAACTCTGGGATGTAATCTGTCGGGTCCCAGTGATTTATATTTGTCAATGTCGGATAGGTGTTCTCTTACCATTTTTTTGCTTATTTTGATTTTTGTTTCTAGTTTGTCTTTTGCAGTAGGTTTTTTTGGTATGTTGGGCTATAATTTCTTTTTGTGTGAGGACTGATCCAAAGAATGAGTTAAGCAGCTCTGCTTTCTTGAGGTCCTTAACATTAGGGACTTCTAGAAAGAAGGAAGCATCATCAGAAGGCTCTGATCTGATTGCTCAGGAACAGTCAATGCCCTTACAAGAGATGACGAAGCAGCATGTATGGCTGGTTACAAGGAACGCACACAACCTGGTTTTAGTAGCATCATCTAGTTTCTGCTTCCATGTTGTTTTCAGATAGTTTTTGTATCACACTGAGCCTGCCATTGAGGCTTTTGGTAATTTTGCTTTGCAGCCACTTTTGGGGTTCTTCTGGTAGTTGTCATCAATAAAATACTATGCACCTATCACTCCAGGTAAGACAAAGTGTTGACCAGACAGGGTAACTTAGGAAGATCAGTTCATTCTACTATCTCTCTTCTGTATCTGATTTAAGCCAACAACAAATGTCTGTCATAAATCTGCAACTGCACTAGTCTTTTCAAGATAATTTGCAGAAGTTTTTGGTCAGTCAACAGATCAGTTGGGCCAGGCAAACTTCAAAAATAAACTGGAAGAAGTGCTTCATGCCTCACAAGAACACAACATCTCTCTGGTCTTTGTTAAAGCAACCCCCTTTTTAAGACTGACGAATGGATGTTGCTGCCTTAAGAGTCACATAGAGTCATTAAAGTAGAAGCGCTTTTACTTACACAAATAGAAGCTTTAAGTTAAATCCCATAGAGGGATTTAAATGGAGCAGACTATGAAGAAATATTATGCCTATGTCCACTGTCCACAGGGATGGGCTTTGCACAGCATGGTATGTGCAATACTCTAAAAATGGACAAGGTTGGGATCAAAGTGAATGAAGCCATTTTATTTTTTATTTAGTTGTAGGGTTTTCTGCCAGTAACTCTGGATGTTTGACTGTGCTGTACAGTTCAATGCAGGCTACTTTCATTAAATTATAATCTAAAAGAAAATTTTTACAAAATGATGTATCGCTGGTATTTAACACCAGATAAGTTATCTAGAATGTATAAAGGTATTTCCAATGAATGTTGGAAATGTAAATATAAAGAAGGGACTTTTTATCATTTATGGTGGACATGTGATAAGGCAAAGAAATATTGGAGTAGAATTCATCTATTAATGCAGAAAATTCTTAAAGTGAACATAAAGATTAAACCAGAAACTTTCCTTCTTGGTCTAATGGAAAGAGAACTAGAAAAAAAATTGGAACTCTGATTTTATATATGGTGATGGCAGCAAAATTGCTCTAAGCACAAAAGTGGAAGGACGCCTCGATTCCTATCATGGATGGTTACAAAAGCTGATGGAATTAGCAGAGATGGCCAAATTGACTGTGCTGATAAAAGAAAAGAACATAAGTACTTTTGTTTCTACTTGGAAACCGCTTCTGGCCTTTGTGCTTGAGGTGGAAAAAAATGATATTATGATTTTGGGTTTTACTGATTAGACTGATTTGCCGATACAGAAATGTCTAGTGCGTGCTACTATAGAAATGTAAAAAGTTGAGATTTGATTTTAATGTCTGATTTTACTGCAACAGAGAGAGTCGGAAGTCAATGCCTTTTGTTTCTTTCCTTCCCCTTCTTCACACCTTTTTTGTTTTCCTTTTTTCTACTGTTGTCCCCTATTATTTGTTTTTGTATTTTCACATTTTATGTTATAAATGAATAAAACTAATTTAAAAAAACCAATACGGGTTACTTTCGAGGCAGATCTCTGAATATATCCCTGAATTTTAAAGACCTATTCAAGTACATTAGAAGCCGCGCCATTGTTAAAGGCATTGAAGAATGTGGTAAGGAAATATCTCTGAAACAATGACCTCCTAAGGGATCATGGGTTGTCTAATAGAATCACAGAATGGTAATTCTGAATGGAACACAAGAATCATCTAATTCAGTGTTCCCTCCTCTCAGCAGCTTTAAGATGTATGGACTTCAACTCCCAGAATTCCCCAACCAACATGAGTTTAGAGTTGCTAAGATTGAGAAAAACTGATCTAGTCCAATCTCTGCAGGAAAGCCAATTGATTAGAAAGCCTATTATAAAACAAAGAATGCAAACAAAAAAAGAAGGGGAAATTTAGTATATGCATAAGAAAAGTGTGGCTCCTAGATTGTGTTAATCCACATTTTGCTTCACCCATGATTCGCTGGAAAAGTCATACTGGAATGAACCAGGGGTAATAGTAAACCATAAATCAGCCCTGCATTTTCAGCCCGTGGGCCATACGTGGCCTGCCAAGCAGCCTTGAAGGTCCACTAGCATTTTTTAAAAGGTCAATAAATTCAATCACCAAAAAGCACCACTGTCATGAAGGATCTCCTGTTGCTTCCTCAAAAGACACACTGCCAAGTGCCTCCAGTATCTCCAGGCTTTAGTGGTGCTGCCAACACCTGCTACCACTCTGCTAGCTGATCAATGAACCAGATATTCCTATGCAGCCTGCAATTATTTTTAATTTATCAGTGTGGTAAATTTGTGCAGACCTGCCATAAATTAGAGTTCACAAACCATAATGGCTGCATTCATAAGGTCTAAGTTCTAATGGGATTCTTATGATTTAAAGTCAGAGTAGCAGAAAATCTCTAGAGGAATACAATCCAGGAATTTTTTTTGTACTACAAAACAAATCCATAAAAGACATAATGAACATAAGACATGATGTACCCTTATTTGCAACAGTGGCGAATATCTGTAGCTCAGATGTAGGATGAGGATGAAGGCTCATTGTCTGAGTTGATGGGTTGGTTTCCGAACGTTTCGTTACCAGGTGAGGTAACATCTTCAGGGGAGTTTAGGGAGTGTCAATGTCAGTGTTTTCTGTTTATAAGGGCTTCACATGTGGGTGTGTCGAGTGAGGGTCTTGTGATGGGTCAGATGTGAGTCTTGTGATGGGTCTTGTGATGGGGAGGCCATCACAAGACCCATCACAAGACCCTCACTCAACACACCCACACCTGAAGCCCTTATAAATAGAAGAACCCGGACATCCCCTAATCTCCGCTGAAGATGCTATCTAGCCTGGTAACGAAACGTTTGGACACCAACCCGTAAGCTTGGAGAACAAACCTTGGCCCTCACACCCTTATTTGCAGTGGACCTACAAACCATCCAGTACATCTGCATTCATTGCACCAGGTGCCAAGTGTTTCTCATAAATAACTGCTGCCTTTGCGTTTCAAACAAAGGCAATGTTTACAACGGACCAGAGAGTAAATGAGAATTAGATCTCTTCTTCCTCCTCGCTCGCGGCTCCATCTAGCGGGCTGGCTGCGTGTTCAGCCTGTTCCTTCATATACTGGGCTTTTAGCTGCTCCAATTCTCTCAGCTCAGCTTCCACTTTTAATCTATGCACTCCACGTCGATTCTGAAGCAGCTTCATGGGAAACGGATTCATACCACTGAAGGCGATGCTCATCAGCTTTCTGGAAGAGGAGAATACATGAGCCAAACAAGAAATAGATAAATAGTAACTCTGCCTGAACATACATTTGGGAGAGAAATATCCTTCTTCAAAATATAGCAGTTTTGCAAAGAGCCGATCCAAAGCTCAACATGTTTGTGATGTTCTGTAAAAGGCCTTTCTTAGATCATATTAATTCAGATTTCCTGGGAAGCTTTTTTTGTATGCAGTTAATTGAAGCTTTATATTAGACAAAAGGACCTGCAACAAACTACGATGATGATGGGTAATGACACTATCTCTTAAATGCTATCATTATGTGCTTATGATGTAAGTATGCACAATGCGATATTTGTGAGATGCCATCATATCATCATCATTATTAATCCCCCTTTGCCACACCCTCAGAGACACCCATGATATTAGATTTGGTGGTCAATCAAATTAGGAAAACACAGAGACAAAGATTTAGAAATCAGTAATACCAAAACTCAAAACCCATTAGTAAGTATATTGAAATGAGAAGGAAAAGGGACATTAACAAAGTCTATTTATTCGATTGGTGCTCTAGCATCCTTTTCACATCATACAAGTAGAAGCCCTTCCTTGGAGTTAATGAGTTTGCCATCTGACCATTATGTTATTTCACGATTGGGCAACAACATGAGGAACTAGGTCTGGCGTGACTTAATAAAGGAATAGAGACTTGTTTCAGTCCAGATGTCAGCCTCAACAATACGTTAAACTACGTGATCTGTCTTGGTTCTCCTGCATTGCCTTTGGCTTCTGAGAACATTCTTACCTGCCATCACAGATAGTTTTGGTGAAAAAACGAAGATATTGATAGAATTCCAGATTGTCTCGAATCTTCAATATTGCTTCTTCATTATATTTAAAAATTGCGAGTGCATAACGGAATATCACCTGGGGCAAAAAGAAACTTGGTTGACTTTCATGTAGTATATTAGTGGAGGGAAATAGTCACACCTGAATAATTTACACGGATGTAAAAACTTACACAGGATAGTAAGGATTCAATAAACATGTTAGGTATCCTGAAGACTGATCTAAATTGGTCCAGCTGCTGGGGAATAGACGCGGACACTTAACCAACTTGGTGGATGAGTGTTAATGTTCTTACCTTGGCACCTTCGTAGAGGAAAGCATCCCAAACTCTGAGGAGAATATCGCTGACAAGACTATCAACAAAAACAACCAGGAACCAGTTGAAGGTCACTAAGGACAGGTCAATTTGAAGTTGATTCAAGTGTGCTGTCAGCCTGGGAAGCTTCTCTGCTAAGATGTCTTTGAAAACTCTTTGATCTACCTGGATTTGGCAAAATATCAATAGTGATAAACACTTATGTTAGAAAGGCTATTCTTCATTTCTATTGTCTCACGGCTGATCATTCTTATACAGAGGAAGATCTCTATGGGAAAATGAGATCTATTAGATACTCCTGTCTGGAACCATTTAAAAAAATGTTTAAATATTCTTTCCATCACTTTGAAACAAACATACAGTCTTACACTGTAGTTATTCCAATAAGATCAGCTATAGTGTATATGAATACAGTGTACAATATAGTGTATATACTGTATATGGCTCAAAAATCATAACTGTGAGAAGAATCTAGGAGTCTTAGTGGACAATCACTTAGATATGAGCCAGCAATGTGCAGCCGCTGCCAAAAAAGCTAATACAATCCTTGGCTGTATAAGGAGAGGGACAGAGTCAACATCACGGAAAGTATCAGCACCACTTTATAACACCTTAGTAAGACCATATCTTGAATACTGCATCCAGTTTTGGTCACCACATTATAAAAAAAGACTTTGGAAATTGTGCAGAGAACAGCAACAAAGATGATTAGGGGATTGGAGACTAAAACATTTAAAGAACAGTTGCAGGAATTGGATATGGCTAGTCTAGAGAAAAGAAGTGACATGATAGCAGTGTTTCAATATTTGAGGGTCTGCCACAAAGAAGAGGGGATCAACCTATTTTTCAAAGCACCAAAAGGCAAGGCAAGAAACAATGGATGGAAACTAATCAAGGAGAGAAGCAACCTGGAACTAAGGAGAAATTTCCCAACAGTGAGAACAATCAACCAGTGGAACGGTTTGCCTTCAGAAGTTGTGGGTGCTCCATTACTGGAGGCTTTAAGAAGAGACTGGACAGCCACTTGTCTGAACTAGTATAGGGTCTCCTGCTTGAGCAGGGGGTTGGACTAGAAGACCTCCAAGGTCCCTTCCAACTCTGTTACTCTGCATTCTGTAGATCCTTCCAATATGTTCTGCCATAATATAAGCAATTCTCAAAATTACTTATTTCTCACAGTATAAAATTCTGTAATTATCCTGTTCCTCAGCACAGAAGAAAGCGTCAGACTTACTTGCGAGCCGATTAATGTGTTGCTGTAGTAATCTTGAGGCATTAAATTGTTTGTGATATGAACTAAACACCAGAAAGCTTCTTCTTCCTCTTCTAGGACCAGCAAGGCAATGGCAGCCAGTCTGCGATGAGTAAGACACCATTATAACTAAAGCAGGTAAACATACTACACGTTAGACCTGTGACACTTCAGATGGTCACAGATCTGAATTTTCAATGTTGGAAATAACAACAAAAAGAACAACAAAAAACCCTGAAAACCCAGAGGAGTCTTTTTAAAAAGTTGGCTACATTTGAAATGAAGAAGTAACAAATGTAAGCAGGCACCTGTTCAATCCTTGACAATAGCCGATGGTTGGATTTTGCCAGGAGAATGCAAGTAAAACTCTTCTAAGTTTGGGAATAAACTGGGAAGCCGGTGACATAAAATGTTTATTGTTGGGCAGCGTGCGATGCAGATCCAGTTCAATTTGCTGGGAAGCTGGGTGCTCAGCATTTTCACACTTCTTGAGTAAATTGTGGTAATGACCAGCGGAGCGTATTTGCTTTAACTGATGGCTGATAATCCATCTCCATACCCTCTGGCGATGCACTATTGGGACACCACAGCGCAATAAGCTTTTTAGCTCTGAAGAGGGAGTCAGTTCTCCAAAGTTATTCCATCGCTCAGAGAGAGGTTTCTCTGTGGTCTCCTTGTTCAGATTGGTGTATTTGATCTCCAGGGCCTGGATTTTGGCCAAGAGCTTCCGGTCTGCAGCTTCGTATTCAGGAACTGTCATAAACCCGTAATCATCATATTGGCTAAACAGTGGAAAGAACAGAATTAGGGAAATACCAAATTATTAGGCCACACTGGTGGTGAAAATGTGAATTGTCTTTAAACATCTTGTACAAACATTGCAATAATGTTAAAAAAAATGGAGGCATCTTTTGGAGATCCTGAAGAAAGCGCATGATCATGTGCACTTCAATCAAAATTAGTCCTTATAGATCAGTGATGGCGAACCTTTTAGAGACTGAGTGCCCAAACTGCAACCCAAAACCCACTTATACATTGTCGAGTGCCGGGTGGGTGTGGCCCATTGGATGGGCGTGGCCCATTGGGTGGGTGTGGCTGCAGTGGTAAGGGCAGACTGGATGGGACTAAAAAGTTAAATCAATCAATTCCAACTTTGCAAGATTTTTTTTCCCGCGAGAAGTTGAAATTGATTGAACCTTTTTTTTTTTGCACATGGCGGCGGAGGCCTAAAGCTAAAAGGTTTTATAAAACCCAGCTGAAGGCCTAGGACTGGGGTGACGGCGCACGTGCCCACAGAGAGGGCTCTGAGTGCCGCCTCTGGCACCCGTGCCATAGGTTCGCCACCACTGTTATAGATTAATGATCTACTTTTTTTTTTAGCTTTTACAATAACACACTTGGACCAAAAAAAACCTCTGAAAAAATAAGGCAAGTAAAGTGATCTACATTTATCTGCTGTTTGAATACACAAATGAAGACCAGCAACTAAAGCTATGTTATCTTATCTCAACTTAATCTACGTTATTGCAAAAGTAGCATAAGGACATGTAGCATTATCAGTTGGCCTTCAGTTGAAAGAATGAATCTGAAATCCTTGCTTCCAGCTACAGTGAGCCTGGTGCAAATGCAACCATCCTATTTGCAGACTTTCATTCCTTTCGTTAGAATGCTGAAGTAGCATTGTGGCATTGCACTGGAAGCTCCACCCATTTTGGTGTGTGTATGTGTGTGTGTGTGTGTGTGCAATATTACAACACAGGTATTGTAGAACAGGGGTCCCCAACCCCCAGTCCATGGACCAGTACCGGGCCACGGCATGCCAGCAACTGGTCCGCACAAACAAGCAAAGCTCCATCTGCCGTATGCAGGTAGCACACAAAATCAATCCCCTCCGGTCCGTGGAAAAACCTCTCTCCATGGAACCGGTCCCTGGTGCCCAAAAGGTTGGGGACCTCTGCTGGAGAAAACCCATCTATCTTGCTCCCCCCCCCCCACTGAAGATATCACTGATCCACTCCATAGGCATGCCACGCCTCTTTCACGAACAGTCCTATTAGTAATTTACTTGACTGGGCTTAGCTGAACAGGAATCAGGGTGTCTTCCTTCATATCCCATTGCAGGGCCTCTTCAATGAGTCCCGTCACCAAGGCCATGTGTTCCTGAGCCAAATCCGGCAGTCCCTGCAGGGTCCTTAGAAACATCAGGTACTTGCTTTCAATCTGGCAATTGTGGGCTTGCAGTTGAGCACACTGCCGTAAGAAGAGAAAAAAAGGTTGTCAAAACAGAGGCTTGTTATATCTGCCTCTTGGATTCATTCTGAATGTATTCTGATTTTTAAGTTCTTTTTTTTTTAAAGAATAGAGCAACCGTCTACAGATTAAAGTATGGAGTATTGAAATCAACTGTTTTGAGGCAGGAATCTGATCTTGTTAGTATAAATTCATGTGTTCTGTCGTTCATTTGACCTGTGTATCATATGTAAAGGTAAAGGATTCCCCTGCCCAATCGAGTCTGACTCTAGGGCACGGTGCTCATCTCCGTTTCCTAACTCGGGGGGAGGGGAAGTTTGGGGACCGTTGTTTTAAGACACTCTGGGATGAATAAATGAAAGGTATTGCAAAGACCTCTAAAGAACAATGAAACTTTCTGTTGCACTGACACAAACACACTGCTATTTTTGGAACACTTTGTCTGCTGTGGGAATTCTATCAATAAAGGCTGGTGCCAGTCGGCTTTAGTATTGGTGAAAAAAATTCTGCTCTTACCATAACTGTCCAAAAAGTAACAATTGCAGTGTGTTACTTTTCTTCATTTGACAATCAGCCATTGAACTGGTAGCACCATTGGGTTAAATTAAGGCTTCTCTCTTTTCCACTGACCATCTCATCCACTAATCATCAAGATTGCTTTTAACTGCGCGGACTCATTTTGGAGATGATGCTAGGGGCCTATTTAGATGATAATTCAGAGTATTACTGAGTAGGAAGGGACCTTATAAGTAATCAAGTCCACCCCCTGCTCAGTGAAGGCTCCTTGGTCAGAGTATCTCAGATGACCATCCAACCTCTATTTGAAGATGATAGCTCATACCATCAGTTTATGAGGCTAGGCATTTGATATGTGGATTTAATATTTATGCTTTAATCACAGAATTAGGTGGGAAAACAGGCATTAGCATATATACAAGGGTGGGTTTCTTACCATCATGAAATTCCTATACTCAATTATCTATTTAATGTCAATTGGGTTGTGCTTTTCAAGCTAAGTTTGGCTCATCTCAGGATTGCAATTTTTGTAAATTAAAAAACAGAAAAAGACCGAATTCATTGTTCTTTACAACTTGATGGGTTTCCAGTTCACCTAGTTGTTAATATGATTATTTTTTTTCCAAAAGTTATGCTCTTTTTGAACACATCTGTCCCAAATATATGTTTTGTGCTTATTTGTGAATAAAAAGTGATGGATTTTTAGCAGACTCCACCATTTATTGTTGACTGAAATCACTTGGATTAACTGTAGCAGCAATTTGAGGGCAGGTTTATTTTGTCTATCCACATCTAGGGAATCCTGAAATGTTGCAATCACACTGAACCAATCTAAACATAGATGCGTTTATGCATAAGATTTTTTTTCCATGTATCTGAATTCACATGTGAAAATTGAATCCACAGCTGGCCCAAGAACACAAAATTGGGGTGAAGCCAATCATGTGGCCCTCCTCAAACTGCATCATGTGAACAGCCACATGCCAGTGACATGAGAAATGAGCAAATAAAAAGAGTTCCCAAAGTTCCCTGTGTTTGACAGACAAGTAGAAAACTTCCTATGTATTTGAAAATCAGATTTAAAATGTAAGAAGAAAACCAAAGCACCAATGTGGGTCAAATAGCCTTGCTTCTTACCTTCATCAGAAGGTTTTTTTCTCTCTGTGCCACTGTGCTCCATATTTTGCTAACCTGGTGGACTTCAGAGTTCAAAAATTGGTTCTGAGTCTTATATGCCTCAAGATCATCCTGAGAAAAAGACACGAAAAGGCATGTAAAGTAACCTTCACCCTAAAAGACTCATGCAATTAGGTATAGATTGATGGGCCCTGGGATCTTGACAAGGAAGGAAGGAAGGAAGGAAGGAAGGAAGGAAGGAAGGAAGGAAAGAAAGAAAGAAAGAAAGAAAGAAAGAAAGAAAGAAAGAAAGAAAGAAAGAAAGAAAGAAAGAAAGAAAGAAAGAAAGAAAGAAAGAAAGAAAGAAAGATTGGGCTCTTTTTATTTCTTTATAGTGACCCTTCTCTGGTTTTTCAAATTGATCAAAATATTGTGGCCTAAAATGTAACATAAGCCTTCACTCTTCTAATGTCTATGTAGACTTTGACAAATGTTACAGCCACACAGTTACATAGAACAATTACTTACAATATTAATGTGGATTAGGCAATGGGAACTAAGCCCCATACAACTGAGGACTCATGTCGTATTGTTTAAAGCCTTCTCTGGCTTAGGACCAATCAAAGAAGAACAGTCCATTCCCACATTCTCAAGATCATCAACAAGAAACCTTTTATGTGTACTGCTGCAGATATGCTAGACATCTATATTCTCTCTATTAATTATTTTAACTTTTTAATCATCTTAATGATGCTTTAAAGTGTTTTTTTTACTTTTCCTACCTTAATTCCTAGATTTTTAAGCTTCTGATCTGTCATGGGAATGGGTGGCATAAAAATTTCTGAACAAATAAAGTCTGGGAAGCGGCAAAACCTCTTCAGAAATCATCTAGCAGCCAGTTCAGGGTTTAGAATACATCTTAACATGATTGACAGTAGGACTGGTTCCATTCAAGGGAGAAACAAATTCTCATGAAATGGTAAATATGTCTATAAACTGCAAGAGCTCAGACTACAGGAGGGGTTCTTCATGAAGGGAGCTGGACATTTTATACAAAAAAAAAAAAAACCCCTCCAAAGGCTACAACTTTTCTTCCTGATGTAGCATTCTTTGTGTAGAGATCATTTTTCAAATAGAAGGGTATTTTGCATGTGACTCTCCATTAGTGATTTACAGTAATTAACCCTAGAGGTTTTATCAGTTCATTCAAAATGCTGCCTAAGACTTATTTCCAGAGGCTATGATACAGATAGTCTTTGCTTACCGACTGCAATAGGGACTGGCAACTCCATCACTAAATGAAGCAGTGAGATCGTTAAGCACAATGTCACCTGACCACATTGACTTACAACATCAATTCTATTAGTTTCAACTGCTGCCATTAGGCAATGCACTGCCCATGTTAACAAACACATAAAAGTTAAATTTGCATGAAGCACATAATGGGGGCAAATTGTAGGCTTATCCTAGCTGTGCCGCCTGCCTGAATCTTACAAAGATCATTGTCCCCTTTTTAATTACATGGATTATTTTGTGTAAAAAACTATGCATAAGGTATCCTAATTTACACAGATTTATTCTAGGTTTTTCATTTATAGGGAAAAGCCAAGAACTACAATAGCATTAGGTTTTTATTGTCAGGCAGGGAAATCTTAATTGAACTGCATCTCTGGCTTCCCAAAATTAGGCATGTATGATCCATCCATTTTAAACATGTTTTCTCTATTGTAATTGCTGCAAACTTGTAAACTAAATATGAGTCAATAGTTTTTAGGAGAGTGAATTTGTTGCCCAATCCTGTTCTATTTTTAGAAGTTTCTATATATATACCAGGGGTGTTAAACTGCTGGCCCGCAGGCCGGTTTCATCATACCGAAACTACGCACATCCCATTGCCGGCAACGCAAAAAGAGTCACGATATGTGATGACACTTCACGTGACATGGTGAGTTTGACACCCATGCTATATACTATATATTATACACTATATGCTATATACTACATATTACATACTACATACTATGGGATGGTATATAATACACACACATATATATACTATATTTCACGTGACGTGGTGAGTTTGACACCCATGCTATATACTATATATTATACACTATATGCTATATACTACATATTACATACTACATACTATGGGATGGTATATAATACACACACATATATATATACTATATATATATATAGTAAGTGCAATGCACAAGCATCTCATTGGCAAACACTGTGAAACTGTGAAAGGCTATATAGCCAAAACACAACAATATTGTACTGCTTATACTATTTGAGCCTAGTTGTGAATTCCTCTCAGAGTACCTTCAGGTGTTCGATCTTTTCCTGTTGCTTGTACAAGGTCTCAGTCATGATGCTGTCTGCCTCAGTAACAGAGTCAGACATCTCTCTAGTGAGCTGGTCTGTCAGCTTGAGGATGACTTGTTGCTTGGCTTCGTTTTTGTCCATCAAGAGCTGCACATGTTCTCTCAGCTCCTTGATGTGCTCCTCCTTCAAAGCAGCCTCCTGCTCCAGGTCTTTCTTTTCCATCTCTAGCACTTGGACCTGTTTACTTAGCTCAGCAATCTGCCTCACTTTGTGGCGCACTAATTCCAGCCTGTCTTTTTCCGTAGCTGTGACCAGATACCTGCAGGACTCTCGTTTCTCTTTCTGAGCTGCCTCCAGAGCTTTGTGAAGAAGTTTGACCAGTTCCTGTAAGAGGAAAAAAATATATATGAAAAGACAAATCTATCTATGACTACTAAACTGGGTAGGACCCATGGAAGTAGTCCACCACTATATACTAGAAGCCCAAGAGCAACAATGGGAAAGAAAAGATCTCCTGATTTTCCATTTAGGGCTTTTTAGGTGCATCTGATGGGCCACTGTATGAGACAGAAGACTTGCTAGTTAAGCTTAGGCCAAATTCAGCAGCTCTGTTTTTATGTTCTCTTTCTCTCATGAAAACATATTACTTTGTAGTTCAACCCCAACAAAATATCTCTTTAAATACAGAAAGAACATACATATAAAAGACATAGGTCAAGATCTCCACACTTGTGGAGCTAGCAGCACATCTGGAATTTTGGCAGTATGTTTTAAGCACTCCAAAGAAAAAGGCTAAAATGAAAATGGCTGAAGTGATAGGCACAGACAATAATAAATCATTTAATCGGAAACTGATTAACAATTCTTTCCCAGCAGCTTCTCTGCCTACCACAACACCCTCTTTTATCTTTGTTTGTTTTTTTCCCTGGGCAATTGGGTAGATTGTCCAGTAAAGCACCAAAGCAAAGCAAAGCACTAAGTCCGCAGGTTCTAACATTTTGTTTTCTAAAATGCTTCTGGGTCAATTTGGAGCCTGTATCACAGACACTGCTGGAAATAAATGACATTTGCAGAATGCTACCTTTTTTCCCCTTTAATTAAAAGAATATTTTTTTAAAAAAAAATCAACATGTAACAGGTAGTCTTTTGGATGCCAATCAAAATACACTTAAAGATCATGTGTGGACCGAGAGATAGATGGATACAGTTCATAGCTCTCCTGCAGATCTTCTTCTAAAGTGAGAGGAGAAAAAATCATGGTAGCAGATTTGTTTTCCAAGGAAAATGGCCCAATTAAAAAAAAAACCCCATTCCCTCCTTTTAAGACCATAAACAAACTGACATAAAATAGCAGAGTAGCTTATGTGCTGTGCTGTGACAAGAAGATATTGGCAAGATCTCCACAGGATTTTGAGCATAATCCAGCCACAGCCATCACTGGGATGATGTAATGCCTTTCCTCATTGTTATTATTTTGTCACAACAATGACTGGATGATTCTAAAAGACACTGTAAATATCTAGTGGCCATAGACCTACCTCAAACAATTTTAGGATTTTGGATTACAACATCAAGAGATCTGACACGGTTACTATAGGTCATCATAACACAGACTGAACTTCTCTGTTTCCTTGAATCATCTCAAGATAATACAGCTGATTCATAAATTCCCTGTAGCCATTGGGCTTGTGATGTTCATATGATCTATCCCAGAGAGCCACTTTGAAGTGACTTGCTGTTACATTAAATAACAACTCTTAGGAAAACTAGCACAAATGTTGGGAATGTCCCGTTTGTTATACAGTACAAGCAGCTCTTAGTACAATTGTCTGAAAACAACATTGTATTTTCAGTCCAGTCCACTTTTTTTTGAGAAAAGGCGGGGGAGGAGTGGGGGAAATTGAAAACGTCACAATTATTGGAGGGTGCACAGAATTCAGGGGCAGAGCACTTGTATAGTTGCAAGACCCTCTCCCTCCTCAAATCAATTCCTGTCATCTTTCATTTATTTATTTATTTATTTATTTATTTATTTATTTATTTATTTATTTATTTATCATCTCAAGTAGTAGGAATAAAGCACACATGCACACACATTTGCCTAACCTTCTGGAGAGCCATGGGTTAGATGGCTGCAAAGTTTCTTCCAGTTTAACATAGCATTCAGAATTGTTCAGCGTGCAGCACAGAAACATCATACACAGGTCCAAATCAAATATTTCTGTTTCTGGAAAGGATCTATATTTCTTTCATATAAGGATGACCCAAATTTTCATTCCACTGAAAAGTACAAATGACAATAAGCTGTACTGAATTTCCAAGGACAGATTAGGGGGATATTGAAAAGATTCTGAGAGCTGGTATTATGCTAGAATTTAGCACCCAAAAATGGAATCTCTTGTATTTTTCTGAAAGGATGATGAAGTTCCCACTTCCCCAAAACTTTATGACGTGAGGTCTTCTTTGTTCCCTACAAATACATGTTCCTGAAAGCAAGGGAATATTTCCTTAGAGGTAGAGAAACCATGTGGACAAACATCTGCCATCTAGACCCATCTCCATGATTAGAGGACTGGAGGCTAAAACATACGAAGAAGGTTGCAAGAACTGGGCCTAGTTAGTCTAGTGAAGAGAAGGACCAGGGATGATATGATAGCAGTGTTCCAATATTTGAGGGGCTGTCATAGAGAAGTGGGGGACAACCTATTTTCCAAAGTACCCAAAAGCCAGACAAGAAACAATGGGTGGAAACAGATTAAGGGGAGAATCAACCTAGAAATACAGTGAGAACAATCAACCAGTGGAACAGCTTGCTTTCAGAAGTTGTGGGTGCTCCATCACTGAGGGATTTAAGAAGAGACGGGACAGCCACTTATCAGAAATGGTATAGGGTCTCCTGCTTGAGCAGGGAGTTGGACTAGATGACCAACAAGGTCCCTTCCAATTCTGTTATTCTGCATTCTATTCTGTAGCAACCCACAGATTGTCCAAGGACATTCCAGTGATCTCGTTGATCCCTTCTATTTGACTTATTCATTCTCAACCCCTTAGCCATTGCAAACCATTGTCATCTTTTTCCTGCCAATTATTTATTCACATCAATGCCTAGGGCAGTGTTTCTCAATCTTGGCAGCTTGAAGATGTGTGGACTTTGATTCCTACAATTTCCCAGTATGGCCTAGAGTATATGAATTCCTACTTGCTAATAATTTCTTCACATTGTGCTTTATTTATATCATGAATAAAGGCAAATATACATGTCCCAGGATAATTTTGCAGGACCCAATCTGAGTCCTTTTGGTTTTGTGCTAGAAGTTCATCCTCAGGGAACTTCTCTTTAGCAGAATGTGTGCTTTGGGCTATTCTATGTGTAATATTTATGTGGTTCCTGGTTGCGTGTGGGTTTTTTTAGTTGTTGATTGGGGTGCTTGGGATTTATTTATATCAGAATTGGGATACTGGATCTTCTTTCATCCATGGAACTCCTACTAGCCATCTCCAAATATGTAACTAAATGAATTTTTTCCCTCTCATTCTACAGTATTAAATATCCAGCTTTCATAGTTGTACATTATTGGGTGAAAAATGCTTTAACTATTCTGATGGATTTGGCCATTTCAATATGCTTTGTTTTCATGATCTTGAATGTCACTGCCCTCATTGTTATGAGCAATTATTAAAATAAATTGTTTACCACTTTATTGCTTCAAGATAAATGGTGAAGTCTCACTGCTTGACATTACCTTTGTCTCCTTAATGTTTAATACTGTATTAACCTGGGTTTGTCATTCCAATGTTACTTTCATCATGGGTTCTTTTAAATCCTTACTTTCAGTTAACAGAGATTATTTGCAAACAGTAAGAACTTGATTTTTATGGGTGCAATGCAGTGGATTTTGAATGTAACAAAAGGAAATGTGATTAAGATTTCAGCTACAAAATCTGTTTTTTTCCGAAACAGTACTGATGACTAAGACCATTTATATAATTTGCCTAATTACCTACTTGACATTATTACATCATTTGTTTTCTATCATTTGTATCAATTTATGTATAACTAGACAAAAGATGTAATCGCACGCACTGTGTAATTATGTCAAAAGTGTACTGTAATTGCACAAATGACGCAAATTACTTTGGTTATTTGTACATGTTTTCATTGTCCAAGCCACTGCTCAAGCAGGAGACCCTATATCATTTCAGACAAGAGGTTGTCCAATCTCTTCTTAAAAACCTCCAATGATGGAGCACCCACAACTTCTGGAGGAAAGTCGTTCCACTGATTAATTGTTCCAACTGTCAGGAAATTTCTCCTTATTTTATTTGATTAGTTTCCATCCATTGCTTCTTGTTCTGTCTTCAGGTGCTTTCAAGAATAGGCTGACCCCCTCTTCTTTGTGGCAGCCCCTTAAATATTGGAACACTGCTATCATCATCCCTAGTCCTTCTTTTCACTAGACTAAACATACCCAATTCCTACAACCATTCTTCATATGTTTTAGCCTCCAGTCCCCTAATCCAGGGCTTTTCAACCTTTTCACCCATTGTACCACTTTTAGGATATGGCAATATTCGAGTACCACCTAGCAATGTGTCAAAAACTTGATGACCCCCAAAAAAAGGAAAAAAGTGATAAAGTACAGGTAGTCCTCGACTTACAACAGTTCACTTAGTGACTGTTCGAAGTTACAATGGCACTGAAAAAAGTGCCCCCAAGGCACAGCCGAGCAAGACACCTGCCTGCCCACCTGGCAGCGCTCTCATTCCCCTCCCCCATTACTTTTCTAGGATGCTCACGTACCACCTGCCAGGTGCCAATGTACCACAGGTGGTACCCGTACCACTGGTTGAAAAGCCCTGCCCTAATCATCTTTGTTGCTGTTCTCTGCACTCTTTCTAGTTCTGAAGTTCTTTCTACTTTTTGAAGTTCTAAGCATATGTGCTTAGGAATCAGTAGCAGTAATAGCGGTAATTTTATTTTATTGCAGAATTAGCCAATGTACATTTTCTTCTATTTGCAGCCTCTTCCAAGATTATGTTATGAGGGAATTAGCAAATCTAATGGATAAAGCAGGACAGCTGAGCTATGGATAGGGTTTTTGACATGTTTATAGCTATTTTATCTCTCTGACCTTTCTCTTTTGAGGGGTTAACGTAAATTTAAAATTGCCTTCATTTTTGAATAATGCATTAATCATATGTTGGTAAAATATATGTCTGTGTGGATAGATTATATTGAGAAGAAATATGGAACTAAAAAGTTTCATAAAAAGTTCCATGATCTCTGGA